AGGCATCAGCAAGTTATTTGAAAGCAGTGAAGAGATCCCATTTCATTAGCTCTGATAAGGTACGATGGAGATGCCTTCTTTAGTAAGACAATCGAGTGAATCAAAAAGAAACACTTGGTCATAATATGGTAATGTGCATAACATGAAAATGCGTCCGTTTCCACTACCTAATATTTTGAGCAGAAAAAAGTTTGGACCATGGATTGTGTAATCAGACCACTCGTGTTATTGCTTTATTAATTTAGTGAGAAACTTTACTTATGATAATGATATTGAAGTCTCATTTACCGCTATTTCTTACCTTTTTTGTGAGATTATTGGAGAATGAGATCAGATATATGTATATGGTTTCTAAAAGTCATAATCATGAATTTATATTTGGTGTGGTAAGGTTGTTAGACTAATGGATGAAGTGGAGTCCATATTCACAAAGCACTTCGCCAGCAATGACAGGAAAAAGGCAATGAAGTTCTTGAGACCACAGCAGCAGAAAGATTCTCACATGGTCACCTTTTTTGTTGGTAACTTCTCTTTTCTCTCTCCATGAAATCAAAAAAATGGGTTTACCACTGCATTTTCCAATTTAAAAATTCATTTTATGCATGGTTGGTTGTCAAGTGCCTTAATGCACTTAAACACAGGAAAACAATGAACTGCAAAATACTCAAGGTGACAAAAGTCTATAAGCACTCTCATTTTGGTCCAATGACTGATAAATTATAATACTGACATCCTATGAAGAGCATCATTGCTTTTTTTCCCTAATGAAATAACATCATCACTTTATACTGTAAAATTCAACTTGCATTATGTGATTAGTCAGTTGGCCAACAGGCCAAGATAACCATTACTTTAATCCTCCAGCAATTACAAAATTGTCTGTCACAGAACCTATAAATGGAACTAAATGATGGTCGGTAATATGATTTATCAATAATATAACAGGCGCCTGGGGCCCAAAAAGCAGTGAGGCTGACATTCAAGAAATTTTTATTTGGTCA